TGTTGTGGTGAGTGGGTGGGTGTTGGAGTGGTGTTGGTGTTGGTGGTTGGTGGGGGGTGTTTGTGGTGTGGTGGTGTGGTGGTGTGTGGTGGGGTGGTGTGTGGTGGTGGTGGTGGTGGGATGGTGTGGTGGTTGTGGGTGGTTGGTGTGTTTTGTGGTTGGTTGTGTGTGTTGGGTGGTGGTGGGGTTTGGTGATGGTGGTGGTGGTTGTGGTGGTTGTTTTGGTGTGGTTGTGTGATGGTGGTGGTGGTTTGTGGTGATGGTGTGGTGGTGGTGGTGTGGTGTGGTGGGTTGATGTGTGGTGGTGTTGGGTGGTGTTGGTGGTGTGGTGTTGTTGTGGTGGGGGTGAGTGGTGTTGTGGTGGTGTTGTGGTGGGGTGTGGTTGTGTGTTGGTGTGGGTGTGTGGTTGTGGTAGGTTTGGGGTTGTGTGGTGTTGGTGTTGTGTGGGTGGGGGGGGGGGGGGGGGTGTGTGGGGGGTGTGGGGGGTGTTGGTGTGTGGGGGGTTGCTGGTGTGGTGGTGGTGTGGTGGTGGGGTGGGTGTGGTGGGGGGGGGGGGGTGTTGGGGGGGGGGTGGGGGTTTTGGGGGGGGGTGACAGTATATCCAGGAAAATTGTGTACAGTTGTAGCACTAAAAGAGCCAACCAACTGGTGTTGAGTCTCTTTTTATTATCTCATTGCCAGCTCAGCAAACCCTTGGCTGCGACGTTGGAGACTATCAGCCAGGGGCCAGCCATGCTGGGAAGCTGACTCTCACACTCACACACTACACACACACACACACACACACACACACACACCACACACACACACACACACACACACACGCAAAGTTATAAAAAACCAACCACACAGATTCATTGAAGCAAACCTGTGACACAAACCTTCAGAGTTTTTAGATAAAGTACAGAATAAGACACAGAAGAGGGTTGGGTTGAATTGCATTTCATGGACTGGCCGAAGGCTTTGACACCAGTTCCACACAAAGAGATTAGTTAGGCTGAACTAGAGGATCAGCGCGCAGGTAACATAAGGGCACTGGCAGTGAGATCAAGAAATACCTGACAAGGGAGGCAACCACGATTCATGGTACGTATGAGTATCACAGTGGCACCTGGACGACGGGGTCCCACAGGGTCGGTCCTAAGACCCTTGCTATTTTTGGTATATGTGAACTACATGATGGAAAGGTTAACACAGAAGTTGTCCCTGTTCGCAGGATGATGTGAATTTAATGAAGGAGAATAAATCAGATTTAGATCAGGCAGACTTCAAGAGACCTGACAGACTGGACACCAGTCCACAACTGCTTTTTCCTCGAATTTAACCCACCAAATGCAAATCCCATGAAAGTCGGGGAGCCCAGAAACCGCAGAGGCAGAGTATAGGCTAGGTGGCCAAGACTGCAAACTCACTCAAGAGAAAGATCTTGGGTGATAAAAAACACCGAGCAATGTCTCCGGACACCCGATCAACCAATAACTACTGCAGCATAAGGGCGCCTGGCAAACCTGAGAACAGCCTTTCCGATACCTTAGTAAGGAATCGTTCAAGACACTGTACCACCGTGACGTCAGGCCCATAATGGAGTAATTCAACACCTGTTTGGAACCCGCACTTGACTAGCACGTCAGAAATTAAGAGAAGTTGCAAAGGTTTGCGACAAGGATAGTTCCAGAGCTAGGGAATGTCCTATGAAGAAAGGTTAAGGAAATCTGCCTGACGACACTGGAGGAACAGGAGGGTCAAAGGTGACATGATAACGCGACAGTATAAAATACTGTGGGGCGAAGAGAACCAAGGTGGACAAAGACAGGATTTCCAGGAGGGACCCAGAAATAAGAGGTCCCAATTGGAAAGTTGAAGACGCAGATGAGTCCAAAAGGATTCAGAAAGCAATTCTCAGTCAGAAGTTGCAGGGACATGGAATAGCCTTAAAAGGACGTATGGAAGGGAGCCATACTATTTTAAAAAGGAGATTGATAAACCATCGAGCAGAAGAGAGAGGATCCAGAAGCACAATGATGAGGCGTGGCCAGAGGAGCTAGGACTCGACCCCTGTAACACAAATAGTGAGTACACACCACCACGAACAAACTTCAGCTATTAAGCCCTGGTACATGATACTGTCTACCATTCAAAATGTCTCCTCACCCTCTCACCCCTATTCTATCCCTGTCACCACTTCCCGGTCTTCCCACAACGGACTTACCAGCTCTAAACCATAAGCCTGTCTCAGATTCATCAGACTTAACGTGTTTTCAATACTTGCTCCTAGGCTGAGAAGATTTAATCACCCATCTTCTACTGTTGTCTGTAAGTAAGTCGAGAGAGCGAAGGATAATTACATCCTCTTCTAAAGTCGTTCCGATTATTTCCTGTACTGTAATCGAGAAAGCCATTGGATTGCGAACATATGCAAATAGAAAAATGTCCAGATGTTGCAACGATGACTAATTCAACATCTACACTGGAATATTGCGATACATCAGAAGCACTTTGATTATAAGACAAAACTACAGATCAGGAGAATACACAGAAACTTCACTTTTATATATCATTTCAACTAAACAACCTGAACTACAGTGAACATTTACACTCCCGTCGTGGGAGCCACGACAGAAGTATGTCGTAATTTACACTTTAAAACGGTGCAAGAACTGGTTTTCAAATTTCACCATTAAAATTACCATCTTTTTAGGAGATCATCTGAGATGGAGACATAGTATTAAACACAATGGAAAGCAAACCCCCCACGCGATAAGTACATTTAGAGAAAACTCTTTAAAAGGAAAGTCCCAAGTGTTTAGCTCTAGTTTATTGATTAATAATAATAAGAATAATAATAATAATAATAATAATAATTAATAATAATAATAATAATAAGAATAAACCTTGCCCTTCGGAGTACAACAGGAATAACAGATAAAATTTTTCTCCATTAGGAAAAATTTCTTCCCACAACTATTTTAAGTGAGTGGACAAATACTGAGTGAGAGAGGTTGAATGCGACTGCAACAACTCACAACCTGCCTGACCAAAGGCCTATCGAGACGAGCCAGGAACTATAGATAAGGTAGATTATTATGTACGTTACCTTAACATCTCTAAATACAGACATAATTACCATCTCTAAGCACACGCCCAGGTAACCTGTACCTGATAGACTAGGCAGTTGTTGCTGTCCACGCTGCGGCCCAAACGTGACAGTTCCTAGACATATAGAGGAGTTACACTTAATAGTGTAACTGACTCACATGATACCTTTAAGAACCCAATGACTATAACTCACACTCCCTTACCAGTTAAACAAGGATACGCCTACATAATATTATATATATAACAATAATAAATGGGCACAATACCTGACTGAAGAATTCATAATAAGCCGCTATAAAGTAGATACTTGGTGACGACGTTTCGGTCAGACTTGGACCGAAAGGTTTTATAAGCTAACAATTTTAAGCTACACGAGTTTGTTGTCAGTTTAAAAGTAGCAAGTCAATGCGATAAAACAAAGACAAATCATATCTGAGAGGAACACCTGGAGTTTACCTGAGAGAGTTTCCGGGTCAACCCCCCCGCCCGGTCTGTGACCCTGACAAAAGGCGGCACGTCATTTCTCAACTTATTCCAATTACCTTTCAATTAAGTTGAAGAACTTAGATATGCATTACTGTTTACTGTTAATATCCATGAGTGACAAAACGTCATGATGTATATGCAGTCTTCTTGATACAAGGATCCAAATATGTTCAAATGTCTTTAATCTTTAATGTATATATATTATATACAACAAATTTTATTTAAACTCTATGTTTTTTTAATTTTTGACTCCTCGTATAGTCGATACTTTAAAACTAATGAACTAATTCTTCGTACTGCCTACATTGTCCCTCCGTACCCATAATTTTGACTTTCAAAAAGACGTTAAATCACGAAATCGTTAGACCTCGATTATTATAAAATTACCGAACGCAGTCTCGAACCTATACCAGACCAAGAGATCGGGAACTGCGGATAGCAATTTTTGTAGTTCTTCAGAACACCATTGTCCTCTTCGCTTCCAGGGCGATGACGTGCTGCGCAGGCGCTTCCCGAATCAGTTTGATTCTGCGCAGTTTAGCCTGGTTTTTGACAATCAACCAGGGCGAATCGACATGGCAGACGTTTGAATACTGTCGGTTGGAATGAGTACGTAGACCCTAAGCAGTTCTTCAATAGCAAGGTGCTACTCCCTACGATTTTCGTGATGTGTATGGGAACCCAATGAAGACTTTAGAGTGTGGGCCTGGTAACGGAGTTACGAGATTTTCATCAATTTATAAATGCTGGCTTTTACTCAAGCATAGTTACCAGAGTAACCACAAAGAGGATGGCCGTGAATGCACAGTGGGAGTATGCATCTACATGATTATCCAGCTATGTGACATACTTAAAAGTCAGGAATTGCCCTTTGAAAGCTACTGAGTATGATGTGTTTTGGGTCTTTCCTTCGTTATGCAGGATTCATGCGGCGGAATTGGGATGTGGAAAGATGGCCTTATGGTGGGACTGCCCGAGGGATCCGTCAATCTGAAGATACGTTATGGCAACAAATCCCTCGTATGTTTACTGAAGATTCCAACGCAGGTCTACGTATACTAATAGCAGGTCAGAGGCGGACTTGTAGGCTGTGCGGACCATTAGACATAATGGCAGCCCAATGCCGTAGAAAACCAGAGACGGATGGGGAACAGATGCCAACACCGATGGATCACAGTTGCGGGTCCAGTGTGCAGAGAGACTGTTATTGCGCCAAGGCAGGCATCGTGCAGTTTGGAGTGAAGAATGGATAAAGCAGAGGCCGGAGACGTCCTCCAGTACTACTTACCTGTGGGGACGGGCCTGAACAGACGACGACGACGAACGATACGGTGGGAGCCATCTAAAGCAATCAGAATGAATGTTGGATAGGTTATTTCGAATACCATCCTAGTTAGGTGGAGGAGAGTCTGGGATGCATGAGCAGTCGTGGACGCTCATTGAGGAGACTACAGTCTCAGACGGTACGTGGGAAAGACCGTGTGCAATGAGGGGAAGAAGCAACACGGTAGTGCTGAGGTGGCACTGAGCGTGCAAGGAAAGAGGTTACATGGTGAACGGCGTTCACGAAAGAGAACACTAGGACGCTGGATATGGATAAGTCCTTAACGCCATGCAGAGACCTGAAGAATTCCTGGCACCCAGGTTTGGATCTCCCGGAGAGTGGTGTAGCGGTGCTGAATACTGAAAGTTTCAAAGGGAAGGGGGGGGGGGGGGTTGGGACTGGACAGACAAGGTGACAAACCGGGGCTCTAGTTAGCAAGCCAGGGTCCACGCCGGGTGCCATTCAAGGATGCGGGGCAAGCCGCACTTTACTAGTCATAATTCAAGGTGTAACGATCAATGTTATTGCCTGAGAGCCTAGTTAAAAGAGTGTGGTGGAATGTTTTAAAGAGAATTAATGTATATATATGTTTCATTCAGTAGTCACAATTATACAGTTTGTGAGTTGTCTTTGAAAGAAGATAGAGTTGTAATGTGATGGCCCTTTGGTGAGATTACAGGTGGTTGCTGTAGCTGTAAAGAAACCATCCATTGCGTATTTAGGGTTGGAGGAGGGGGGAGGGGTCGTGAGGGTAGGAGTGGGGGTCAGACGAGTTTGTTTTATAAGTGTATATGCCGCAGATGGCAACGCACGAGTCAAGAGAACTTTAGTGAGGGAATTTTTATGTACTATTTTAAGGCTACCTTTAAGTCACTGTAATATCGGGAATTGGAAGTTGTGTTGATTAGGGGATGTGAACCGGAGGGGGCGGGTGTATTTGGCTGCTACGTAATGTGTTTGAGACGGGGGTTTGTGACTTGTGGAGGGGAAGGTTGTATTAGTATACGTTTGTCAGAGGGGGATTATGCTGCAGATTAGATAGGATCTATGCAACGAAGCTGTACGAGTTTGGGAGTCAGGACTTTTGATGTGGGGTTTCTGGGATCATAGGCTGTTATAGCAGATCTTGATTGGAAGGTATGGTTAGGATACAAGCGGTGTGTTGAAAGTAATATCAAACTCGTGAGGAGTGAGGAGTGAGTATGGCATTTGGGGTAATGGTGGCTAACTTTTTTGGACTCAAGAGTAGAGTCCGTGTGTCTTAGAATGGTGTAAAGGCACTCTAAGCCGGTATAGTCAGGTTTCTATAAGAGGAAGGGAAGAAGAGAGCAGGGTGGAGTCGTCCCACAAATAGGCGACTACAAATAGGTTTGAGTCACGTACACACACAACCACACCCACACCCCAAACCCCAACCCCCCAAACCCCACACACACCAAACCACACACACAACACACCAACCACACACACACACCACACACACAACACACACACACACACCACACACACACACACACCCCACACACCACACACACACACACCACACAACCACACAAAACACACACCACACACACACACCACACACACACACACACCACACACACCACACACACACACACACACACACACACACACACACTGCAGTAGACATCTGCAGGTGAATCAAGTAGGCTGTCTCGGTATGCCACTGAAGAAGTTTACCGTGTAGGCGTAACGTTTCAGAATACTCCTGTGCTTTTAGCGCTTAGTTATGATTATAACATTTTTTTAGAAACTGCGTATGCGTCTTAATTATCAGCAGTTACACATGATAACACTAAAGACATGCTTGCTGTGAGTGGCGTCATCTCATAATAAGGAAAAAATGTAAACTAAAATTATCTAAAAAATAAACTGATATTGTCCTCTATTGGAAAAACTTAACAGCATTTGTTCTAATACCATTTTAATAAGTGGATAAGTGACAAGGACATGAGGCATTGTGTTGGATGCTGTGAGTGGCGCCGCTGGTGCCCTCCGCTCACCACCTCCCCTACTTTAAGGGAGGAACACGGCAACCGACCTGGTAGCACAAGCTATCAGGTCCAACTCACACCCACCCACATCCACTCATGTATTTATCTAACCTATTTTTAAAGCTACACAACGTTCTGGCCTCTATAACGGTACTTGGGAGTTTGTTCCACTCATCCACAACTCTATTACCAAACCAGTACTTTCCTATATCCTTCCTAAATCTGAATTTTTCCAACTTAAAATCATTGCTGCGAGTCCTGTCTAGGCTAGATATTTTCAGCACACTATTTACATCCCTTTTATTTATTCCTGTCTTCCATTTATACACCTCAATCATATCCCCCTAATTCTACGTCTTTTTAGAAGGGGGCAGTTTCAGGGCCCTTAGTCTATCCCCATAGGGAAGGTTTCTGTTACATGGGGCAACTTTGTCATCCTCCTTTGTACATTTTCCAGAGCATTTATATCCATTCTGTAATACGGTGACCAAAACTGTGCAGCATAAACCAAAAAGAGGCCTAACCAAGGATGTATAGAGTTGAAGAACAACCTGAGGACTCCTATTATTTATGCTTCTTGATATAAAGCCAAGGATTCTATTAGCTTTATTGCGAACACTTATGCACGTTGTCTTGGTTTCAGATTACTGCTAACCAGAACTCCTAAATCTTTTTCGCAATCCGTAATATTAAGAATCTACATTATTTAGTTTATATGTGGCATGGTTATTGTCCTGTCCAACATTTAGAACTTTGCATTTGTCTATATTAAACTGCATCTGCCACCTCTCCGACCACTGCATCAGTCTACTCAAATCTTCCTGGAGTGCTCTAATGTCCTCGTCAGAATGAATTCGACGGCCTATTTGGTGTCAATCGGCAAACTTGCTGATGTCGCTCTTTATGCCCTCATCTATGTCGTTTATGTATATTGTGAACAGAAAGGGGCCCAACACTGACCCCTGTGGAACACAGCTCGTGACGCTTCCCCACTCTGATTTCTCCCCATTTATGCAAACTCTCTGCTGCCCATTTTGTAACCATGCCTCTATCCAGGAAAAAATTTCTCCTCCTATTCCATGTGCCTTAATTTTCCTCAATAGTCTCTGATGTGGGACCCTGTCAAAAGCCTTACTGAAGTCCATATACACAATATCATATTCATTACCATGATCTACCTCCTCAAATACCTTAGTGAAAAAAGTTAACAAATTCGTTTAAAGGGAGGAACGCCCCTTTGAAACCATGCTGAGATTCGTTGATTAATTTATGCTTTTCAAGGTGGTAGGATTTAGATTTTGCCACCGAAGTGGCTAGTTTATTGTGTACTCATACACAAATCCTAGGAATAGGCCCCAAAAGGGTTAAAAGGAGTAATTTGGATTTATATCTTTTTTAGTTC